TCAGGATTTTAAGTTCTCTATTTGCCCCATGGCTCCGATTGAATGGTCTTCATCTGTAAAACATACAAATAGAGTTCTACTGGATAAATACCCATAAGTGGTCCTGTCTGGAAGGCAGGAACATACGTTTTCATGGAGAGTCCAGTGGACACATTTATTACAAGTCTCAAAGTCCATGGTAAGAAACCCGCTGGTTAAAACATCTTATCTTCCAACTGTTTGACTTTTGTAGGCTCAGTGGCATGTATCTCCCTTGGAAGGGGAGCTGTAGCTCCATCTCCTATGAACAAGAGCAACACACGCGCAGCGACCGAGTATCTAAGGGGATGAAATGGGAGAGGAGAGCCATTTGCAAACCAGAGCAATCAAAAACACTTTATGGAAAGGAAAGTCTTAAAGCAGGCAGACTTGTATATACAGTCATTAACCAACAGAAGTGTTTGTAGCTGCAGATACGATAGCAGGACATTCATCTTCTTTGGGAGAAGACAGAAGCACAGTTGCTGGAAAGTTTAACTCCAAGGATTCCTAGATCACTTATCTTGCAGGGCAGACCACCAACATTTAGTGGCTTTGAAGTGGATTTTTTTTTTTCCTTTCTCCAAGAAGGCTGCAGAGCATATGAAGCTCATTGCCCTCCCCCCAAAGCAAGTTTTCAAAACCACCTTTCTTAAATACCTCTACATCCTACTCCAGGAGAGCACAAGCTGTCCAAGAGCTGCCAGCCATCATCCAGGAAGGAGTCAGAATTACAGGGGAAGTGGTGAAGGGCAAAGGGAAAAAAGCCCCTTTTTCTGACAGAGGCTACTTTCATTTCAACAGAACAGGATCTGAGCAGCACAGTGGAAAAGCAAACAAAAATGTCTTTTTTTTTTAAATGTAAACATTCTCTGCATAAGGTGCAGGGTCTTGGATGTATGTACAGTGAGATAGAAAAGAGTTTGTAAAATAGAGATCGAGTCAGAAATGTAGCTACCACTTATGCTTCTGAAGAAGATAGAAATGGAGACGTGTACACCATTCAATTTGTCAACACTTACACAGCGAAAAAGGTTTCAAAACTCCATGGCTAAAACCATCCCACCATTGTAACAAAGATTATTTTTTAAATAGTTTTTAAAAAGTTTTTACATTATTTACTAACAATGGCTATATATGCAGAAGCATGTCATACTACAGCAATATTTCATCAGTTGGCCATCTGCTTTACCAAAGGTTATGCACATTGTCATGTGCTGCCTTGTTGCTCCTATGAACCCCTTTCCTCTCCTCCCTAGAGCAACTCAAGAACTTTCTGTGAAATGCAGAGGAGCTGGGTTTTGTTTGGTTGCTCCTAGAGTTTTTTGTTGTTGTTGTTACTACTACTTAGCACTGGGGTGTTTACTAAAAAAAACAACTCATTGCACTGCTGACTCACATCACTTAGTTTTCCAAAATATTTCTCAGATCAAGAGAAACAAAGGCTTTCAAAAAACTGAAAAAGTTCTTCCAGTGCAGTTATCTGAAGCTCTGTTTTCTGCAGATGACACTAACAAACTATGATGCAAAAAGAGCAAGGGCAGTCAATGAAATTTTTGGGAGCTGGATGCTCTGAAGGAGCAGCTGTCAGTTGCGGAAGACGATCCTGAGCACCTTTTTGTAGTGCACCAAGCAATGTGCCTACAGCATTTAGAGTGGCTTTTCTGGAGCTCCCTTGCCCCAGCAAACTGTGTGTTATGTCTCTCTGCCCTTCAAGTTGTTCAGGAGCATGGACTTTTACTAGGTTATTACTTCTGGGTCAGGCAGAAGCAACAGTAAAGAGTATAAAAATCTGAATCACATCAAACAGCCCTGTCACTAACATGGAAAAAATGTTATCTACTGGCATCAGTTTATAGCCAGAGCTAATCAGGAATAACACGAGGGGCTGATGGGTCTAACAAAAAAAAAAAAAAAATCCTATTACTCCTCACTTGTCTGTACTTGGCATGGCAGTTCATGGCTGTGTGCATTAAAAAGCCTGTTGCTTTGCTTCAGTCACACCCACGACACCATGGGGTGAAGGGCAGCATCCCAACTAGCATGCCAAAAGCTAGCCCAGGCCACGCTGCCAGCAGCACTGAGCTGCAAGCTCAGGGTGCACAGGCTGGCATGCGTCTATCCATCCTTCCTGTGACCAGCCCCTGGTGTCCACCACGCAGCCCTGCACCAGCCCTTCTCACCAGGGCTGCCAGTTGAACAGCAGGTTAGTACTTGCTTAGCCTCACTTCAGCCATGCCTACTCTGCTCTGCAGTGACAGAAGCCTTCTCCTTCCTCCAGGTACATGGGGAGCCCCTCTCTGGCCCCGGAACCCACACGAGTCCCATGGAAGCCCCAGCCCAGTCCCCTGCACTGGTGTTTGCACCAAAGAGCACTTTGAAGGACAAAGACGAGGTGCTTCAGAGACAGAAATGACTGTTCCCTCACTGTATATTGCAAGCCCTAGTTCTATACATGGGATATGTTAGTCAATATGCTGTATGCCTTTGTTACTGATATTTTTTAAGTATGTATTTTGACACTTTGATTTCTTCCCTAATGCAAATCTTGTAGAATTTGTTTCCAGCAGGGTATTTGCTTAGTACATCTGTCATTTTATACAGAAGAGGTTGAAAAGTCTTCACTTTCAACTATAAAAGCATTTCACCATTGAATTTTTTTCAGTTTTATATATGTGCTTAAGGTTCAGGAGAAGGGGATAGGCTGTTAGAGAGGAGTCTTTTTATGAAGCAATTCTCTGTTCCACTCAAAGCCCACTCACAACACGGCCTTCAGATCATCACCTGGCTCCTTGACATAAAAGCAATTAATATAAAACATGCTCATCTATTACACATAATAGAACTGAGGCTTCTCCAACTAAGAGGGGGGAGAGGGAAAGAAGGAGCTCTCCCAGACCCTATACAGTCAAAAAACAGTACATGGTGATAATTGCCTGAACAGAAAAAAGAGAAAAATCAACAAAATGTATCCTACACAAAAAAGGAAGTAGTGTTTTAGTGTTCACAGTTACAGAACTGTCACTCTTGTTTGCTCCTCCTAAATCTATCACAATTTTCCCCCTCCCAGAAGGGCTGCAGGGAAATGACATCGTAAAGGCCATTTATAGAGAGATGCAAGTTATGCCTTATGAGACAATCCGTGCCTTCCTGGCATGAAAATGTCCTTTGCCAGTGAAAATCCAAGAGATTTTTGAGTTGTTGATATATCAAGTATTTTTTTCCCCCCTCTGGAATGCAAAAGATCTGGCTGTAAAACCCCAGCATAGTAAATCATATTTATCTTAAAAAGAACTCCACAATAGAAAACTTTTGTTATAGATTAGTATTTATCATCTTTGATTTAATCTTTAAAAAGAAAAGAAGGAAAAAGAAAACTAAGTCACTTTGGTGTTTATGAGAACAGGGAATGAATTTGCCTTTACAGAGCTCTGCCACTGCACTTCAGCCACCCTGTACCAAACCAGGGCCAAAGGAGCTGTTGGAAAACCACAGGCTTAACACAACACAGGGACCAAAAAGAATATTTGGGCTAGGGCAGGAAATGCATATAAAATGTGGATCTGTTTTCCAAGCATCAGTGTAAATTCTGAGCTTGTTTCCACTTGCTGGGAAAGACTCATAATGTTGTAGGAGTGACCTCTGCTTGCTTCTTGTGCTGATGCTCATGAAGGAAGAGCTCCCTTTGAGTCTGAGAAAATGAGTTCTGTGGAATTAATGAAGGAGCCAAAGTAGCAAGTTTAAAGTTGTCACTGTAACCCACCAGTTTCACTAGCAGACAAGAAAGAGCTGGGATAACTATAGCTTTGTAGACCATTGATTCAGAGAGGGAAAACAGACACCAATAAAAATATGCTATTCATACCAGAATAGCACACTTGACTTTGGAAGAATCGAAGTCATTTCAACCATGGCTGAAAAAACAAGTCAACTAGAAATCACGTTTCAAAGGAACAGGGCATTTGATGTCAAGCAAAGGCATTACCAGACGGGGTGCAGAACAGCCAAAGGAACGCTGAGAGCATCTCTGAAGGAACAAGCAACTGGAATTCATCCCTCCACAGATAAAATGTGCTCCAATTCAGATCTGAGACTACAGAAGGATTTGTCGTTTGCCGAACAGGCTCCCCTTACATTCTGAAGGGAAAGCACTGGCTGGGAACCACCACCGGTGTGCTGTGGCTGCCTGTCGGTGGGGACACCTCCAGTTGTCCTGGCTGGAGAGGAGCGAGAGTTAGAAGACTGGCTGCTGCTTCAAATGACACAGCCAAAAAGCTGAAAACCGTGTGCTGTTGTGTTCTCCTTACCGTCTTCCACATTTTGTGCCCTCCAGGAAGGGCGTGGGGGAACCTGCAGTCCATTGCATCTGGCTGTAACTGCAGCTTGTGCTGGAACAATTACGCTGCTGTCATTTGACAAAGGTGATGCCTCTAATGCTGAAGCACAGCCCAGCACACCGCTCACCTCCACTACCCTGGCCAAAGCTTGCTTGAATGATCTGAGTGATATACAGTAACTCGGCAGGCACATACCTGGGTGCTGAGCAGCCAGTAAACTTCAGGCTAAGTCAGTCTTGTAGCAAGGAAGTTTACAGTACAGTACGTGAGAGTATACATTGACTAAGTTATTGCCTAAGGCTCCGGTGGGCTGTGTCCCCAGCTCGGGAGCCAGCAATGGCACAGGACTGCATTGCCATCTTGGAATGTACAATTGCTTGGTCTGAGCATCATCAGGAGCTGCCAGAGTTGAGATGGAGATGGAGCCTCCAGCCCAGCTCTGCTGCCCAGGGCTGGCTTTGTCTCTGGGGTGCCCAGGTGAAGCATGTGAGTTGGGTCAAACCAGAAGGGATCCCCATGAACAGGCAGTGCAGGACCCACCCAGAGCAGCTGTGGTTCTTGCATGAACTATATGTGGTGCTGATATGAAATTTTATAAATCTATTAGGTTTTAATTTATTTTTTTTTTTAAATAAGTGCTCTCTGTTGCTCTGGCTCCATGGATAAGGACATCATCTACAGTTTTCAGAATCATTACATATTTGTATTGTTTAAGTGAATGACAATCTCCTCCCTCTCTCTTTGTACCTCCCTTCCTCTCCCTTCCCCTTCCCGCTCCTTCCTTTGCCCTTGCCCTGTGCTGCTTGCTGTTGTGTTACATATGAGATCAGGCAAACCCCAAAGGCCGGTTTACATTTTTATGTTTTGTTTTTGCAGATCTCCATCACAGATGGAATTTTTGCTGGTCATTTCTTGGAACTAATCCATTAGCAGGACAAACTGAAAGAAGACAGGGCAGTGAAAACAAACCCCATGACAGAGACGGAGGAAAGAAGAATCGATAAACAAGCGGAAATCAGTTCTCCACCGGGGTGGGATTTGCTAAGGGCTGGCTCACGATGACTTGTACCACATAGTCCTTTGGGATTTTCAGCTCCTCCAGTTTCATTTTGTCTGCCAGCGGCCTGCCTGAGAAGAACCAGCGCTGGCTGCCCGGCTCCACCCCCTCCACGGCGGGCAGCCGCCTCTTCATGTGGTACACCGTGTCCATGCTGCGGACCACCAGTTTGAGGTCTTTGCCTGTGGACAGGCGCAAACGAAGCTGGCATTCGTGCCCTGAATTGGGTGGGGGATCAGGAATATCCAGAGTCTCCAGGTCACCCTTCTCCTCTATCATGTTGATGGGTGGGGCAAGGCAGTAGACGGGAAGCTGGTACCGGTTGCCCAGTTCATCGTAACACTCTGTAAGAGCACCTTTAGGAGATAAGATGGGGAAAAAAAACAAGTGTGAATGCATTTTGGGTTTAACATTGAAGCAGTCATGCTCAGAACCATTTACCCCACTGTAAATCTGAGCGATTAAGTCTGAAATTAGGCTTTAAAGGATTGATATAAAAATCTGAAGTTTTCATTGCTTCACCTCATTTTCATATGGAAACTTGAGGTTGAGTTAAAAGCAACCCCTAAAAGCCAAACACATGGCTCCCTCCAGATAAACCAGAATAAACTTCAAAAGAAGCACAAAGGAAGAGACAAGAGGGGATGACATTCTCCCAACATGTCATTTAAAAGAGGAATATTTCTCCAGCAGCATGGCCACACACACACCCAGAAAATGCTACTTGGATCAATTACATGATCCTGAAGTCGACCTGTGAACAGGCAAAATGGCACTGTGAAAGAAAGATTTTGTAACTTCTCAAGGATTCAAAAATTGCTGAAACGTTTTCATATAGGACTCAGTTTTAGTGAGCACTGCCAGAACAAACAAACATGACCACCCAAGTCAGACAACTCCGTGGCTCTGGCCGGAGCACACTGTCACCAGAGCAGCGACACCCAGCACATACTTTATACTTTCACAGCATTTTTAGCTCCCATATTCAAAGCCCTGAAGTTTCAGAAATTCTTTTAATTTCCTGAGACTCCCGAGAGGTTTCTCAGGACAACCTGGGTGCTTGTGTTAAAGACGAGAGGGCAGCAGCGTGCTGCCTGCGCCCGGCATTCCCTCTTACCAGCACGGTACAACACGCACACAACAGCCCAAGAATTATAACACTTACTGAAGTAACAAATACAAGCTGACATTTTCACAGCACGAGACATAATTTATAAAGATATTTCATGAACTAGTATGGGAAACCAGCAGCACCTTTTTCATTATGTTTCAGGAGGCAGAGAAGGCTGAAAGCAGAGCCCTGCTGTACACAGCGCAAGTCACCTCTTGCAGTGAGCCATGAAACGAGGTGCTGAGGAAGCTGCAGGCTAAATCACAGCAGAAAACTCTTCCTGCAATGGTTTAAAAAACCCCAGATATTCACACTCCAAGCAAATGCTTCTCCCTGTTTTGAATTTACCTGCTATAACAAATTTCCACATTTTTGCCCCTAGAGGGGGCACATTCACTTGCAAGATTACCCATGCTTTTGTAGTTGGAAATGTTTGAAGAGGAGCCAAGTCCTTGAGCTACAGAATATTTAAAAACTCTTTGACTCGGCAGTTCTGCACACAACACCCAACTGCTCCATGTTAGAAACTAAGAGTGGATTTTAGCTGGAGTTTTTTTTCCCCATGCTGACAGTGAAGTGTCTTGAACTTTGCTGTTTGATCAGCAGTATTACTGCAATGTAAAATTATAACTTGGGGATATACTTTGTCACTCAGTCCACTGTGACAGAAGAATCTTGTGCTAGAAATCTTTCTTGTAGACAGAGGCTCCCTTTTTTAAGGATAATTTGTGTTGATGAAAACACAGGAAATCTTTGGCTAAAAGATCATTGTTTTAGGCACAGATGCTTTTGGAGGCTTTTCTGTTTGTACAGGTAGCACCAAGGCAGCTATGCCCTGAGATTTATTGAGAAAACAAAACTAAAAAAGGAAATCCAGAAAAACAGAGTTATACCACTCATTACAGTCTTGTATCTTGATGAATCTCGAAGCAAACCAGCTTTTATCAAAACTGCATTAGAGCTGTACCTTTTATGGTACTTTGTGATTTAGAGACTGAAGTCTGAAGTTCCCATGCTTCAGTTTTGGTTTACAATGTTCATTTCACTCTATAGACCTGATCTACTTAGTAAATGTCACAGTACTAAATTTTGGATCACAGTTCACAAAAACAAGTAGATGTAGCTTGCTGCTGTTAAAAAAAAAAGGAAAATCCAAACTTGAACAGACTAAATTTATCCAGAGCAGCTAAACTTGTACCTTTCTTTAAAAACCATGTATCTTAAAAAGAATGCTCCTACTTTAGAATAGCGTATCAAAGAGTTAATTTTAAATACCATGGGGTAAGCTTGCTGAGGAATTTCTCCATCATTTATGTCCTTTCCCAGCTGAACTAACATCAAGGTCAAAGCATATGCTATGAACACCAGATTGCTTAATCATAATCAGATAAGCAAAATTAAAAAAATCCTCTGAAACAGCAGCTAACTTGGAGGTTTGTCTTTAAAAATAAAAAGGAAAGAATAAACGACAGTAGAAGAAATCTTTCCAATAAAAAATACACCGTCCTGTCCCAGGCTGAAGAAACAGTTTATAACAAATAGTTACAAACAAATCTCACCAGCAATCCCATTCTTCCACTCATGCTGGTAAAAACATCCCTAAGACTCTCAAGTCTTGTCACCTACCACTCAATGGCTTTCAAGATTAGACGTACTATTTAGAGCACAAAAAGGCAACTATTGTGAACAGAAGAGATTTCATGATAGCACCACCTCTTTACCAGCACACCACACCTGCTGAAAGCCAAGCTGGAGCTCCAAGGAGGAGATGAGGAGGCCTTGGTCCTCACCTCCAAAGAGACGTGGAGCTGTGCACAAACAGGCTGGACCTCTTCAGACAGCTAAATACCCGCTGGGCTTTACAAAGCTTTCAGTTAAAGTGATCTTTGGAGAGGGGTCAGCCTCTGCTACGATCTTCAAGATGTGACAAACAGCAACAAACTCAAAGGCAGAACACGAAGTAGTGTCACGTTAGTTGGAGTTCAAAAGCAAAACAATGACTGAAATGTGTAAACCAGAAGGCACAATGAGTCTGGAACTATTTTAAGTGATGTAGGTCAATGCAAGTGATGCGAGGGTAAGGAAGAGGTTGGATTCTGTGCAGCCACCACAGTAAGGCTGGTCTCACCAGCCAGGTGGCAGCTCCTCTCAGAGGCATTCTGTGCAGCATCCTTTATGCAGTGCAAAGCCCCCAGGACACCAAACATCCCAACTACAGAGCCCATCCTAATTTTGCTGTGATAACTGAAAATCATGGGTTTGATCCTTCCTGCAAGATACATCAGCTTGGCCTATGCAAGGTATT